AACCAGCCGAGTCCTTTTTGCAATCCTTATACCAGTCACCATCATCAGCAAAGACTACTTTCATCATTCCAAGAATCCAGACAGAGGAACAAAAGACAGAGATTGAAATGGCAATGGAGAGTTACCTTGTCAAAAATGATGGTAAGACGGTAATTTTGGACATTAAAAATTTGCCGAGTACACTACCAGTGTCTGATACGTTAGCAAAGGTTGACGTGATCATCGACCAGTCCCAATACGAACCAACATCCGATACAGAAAATCTGATGCCTTTGTCAAAAATCGAATATACAAAATTGGCATTGAATGTGGCAAGACTTGTGAGAAAAGATATCCAGAAATCAAGTTATAAAGTTATAGCAGTAGATGGAGATTATACACTATGGCATGGTGAATGCGCCGAAGGAAAGGTTGAACTCAAAGACGGTCACATCCGATTCCAGAAATTCTTATTAGAACAGAAAAACAATGGAATGTTATTGGTCCTTTTATCAAAGAACGAACAGCAAGATGTCGAAGACGTGTTCGAAAATCCACCTAAAAATATGGCTTTGAAAAGAGAAGACTTTGTACAAATTTGTGGTAACTGGGAGAATAAATACAAAAATCTCAGAAAGATTGCAAACATTTTGAATCTTGGACTGCATTCCTTCCTGTTCATAGACGATAATGTACTAGAGTGTGAAGAAATGTTAAGAAATATACCTGAAGTACTGACCCTGCTTTATCCATCAGACCAGCAACTACTGGCGGCATTCATCGACAATATTTGGCTACTTGATGACTCACAACTGAGCCATGAAGCAGCAAACCGAACCCAAATGTACCAAGAAGAGTTCAAGCGAATACAAGAAATCAGCAACGATTCTTACAATATCGACAGTCTGAAGAACCTATTAAGAGGCTGGGATATGAAGATGGTACTACTCGAAACCAAAATAAAAGACTTGAAAGATAACGCATTGGTATATAAAAGAGCCAACGAATTGCTGCACCGGACGAACCAGTTTAAGTTAAATGATACCCATACTGATATGGATGCAATGTGCCCAGACTGTGCCACCTACGTAGTTTCATTAAAGGACAAACATGGATCGTATGGTATAGTTAGTGTTTGTATCACTAATAACAAGTCGGAAATATTGCAGTGGGTTGTCAGCTGTCGAGCTTTGAACAGATTCATTGAAAACAGAATTCTCAAAGAAGTCTTCGACAGTCAGGGAAGTTCGAGCCAAACGGTATATATAAACAAAACCAAAAGAAATACACCATTGCTCAACCTTATGAAGACTTTGGGTGTGGTTTTTGAAGACGGACCCGAACTTAAAAAATACGAAATAAGACCTCCGATACCAGTTGAACTGGACCTTCATCAAGTGACCCACACCACAAATATTGCTGATGTTGGTATTGTCCAACCACCTACAACCACCAAAATCCAGTCACAGACAACGTGTGATGAATCAAGTCAACAGTCATTTTTGAAATTACAGGACTTCATACAAAACAACTGGACACCTTTATTGGTCGACCAAAGCAACCACCACCTTATGTTTCCTTTGGTGCCCACAAGTAAATATTTGCCGAGACCTATTTCAGTTCAGGAGACTCAATCCTTAGACGGAATAATAAAAACCTTGTGGATGGAAGTTTTGGGAACCCAGATACCGCCGACAAGTAAATCCAATTTTCTCACCGAAGGTGGTACATCCTTTGCAGCAGTGTTCCTAGTTACTAAATTGAGACGACTTTTACATAAGGACATTACAATTGTTGATTTATTGAAGAATCCATTGTATGACGACTTTCTTAGTAAAGTGATATCAGCCGAGGATGATGCAGAACGAATGGAAAATCGAGAATCAGCTACGCCGTCTTCGATATCTGCAGCACAGAGAAGAATGATAATCATGCAAGAAACAGCACCGGAGTCAACAGCATATACTGAGACATTGGTTTCGTACGTCCACCACCCTGTTGATGCAGAAGATATTCTCAAGCTCTTGTTGAGGTTTCATCCAATATTGAAAACTATTATAGAAAGCACCAAGAATGGCGAATATCGCACGAAATACGATGACGTTGAAATAAAGATCAACAAAGAATCAATTGGAACAGGGGAAGATGTTAAAGAGTTTATTAAAGAGACAACACCAGTTATACCTGTTCTATCGTCACCGTTATACAGATTCCGTCACGTTACAGCTGGTCACCGTCATCACATTATACTTCATGTGCATCACATAATATGTGACGATGTGACGCTGATATCTATGAATAGAACACTACATAACCTTTTGAATGGAGCTGAATTTAGAACCACGAAAGGCAAAGATCAGTACCAATTATTGCTACAAACTGAAGCAGAATATCTCAAGTCTAACAAATTTGAAGTGGATGAAGCATATTGGAGGGACATATATTCCACGCTTCCATCGACAAGTGAAATGATAAGTAATATAAGTAGCAGTTGGAATGACACAACAACCTACCGAGCAAACCACCAAATGGCTCTACTACCAAAAGAAGCCCATGTCATGGTTCAGACAATATGCCACAGCCTACAGATAACAGAATTTCAGTATTATCTCTCAGTAACAGCAATGGTTCTTCAGCAGTATTTTGGTACCAGTGACATTTGTCTTCCAGTACCAATTTCCAACCGATCTTTCCAATTTCAACATACCGATGGTTTATTTGTTAACACAGTTGTTCCCCGAATCAAGACCAATCATCTAATGACCTTGAAAGAAAATATCCAAAATATATCAGAAGTTTGCCTGAAAGTGATGAAACACGGCACCTACCCATTGGATTTTCTGACCAGTTCTATATGGAAGACACATAGACAGTCTCTAAGTACATTATGTATCGCTATGTTCAATTTTGTAACCACATCCCCTGATGCTCAAATAAGAATTCCAAGTAAACATGCAAAGATGCCAATAAGCATTGATATCATACAAGATAAAGTATCAGGAGAAACAGAATTAATAATGGAATGGGCAGAAGATCTTGTGCCAAGTGGTATGGCAGAACGAATGTTTGGAAGTCTATTTGAAGTTCTATCAAGCACTGACTTAAGTATCGACAGAAGACTTCAAGAAACATCATTTTTATCAAAGGCAGAAGTAAAACTTCTACAGACATTTAGTAAACACCAAGAAATATTACACGTTAAGGATGTCCCGTGCCAATCAACATTGGAAGCTCACACCAAAGATCAAGGCAATAAGATAGCGGTGGTATGTGATGATGTTAAATTGACATACGACCAACTCAATCGCAATGCCAATGCAGTGGCACACCACATATTGTCCATTGTGGAATCTTCCATACTCAAGAAACAACCTGTTGTTCTGGTAATGGAGAAGGATGAAAAAGCCATTGCTGCAATCCTTGGTATTTGGAAAGCTGGTGGATTTTTCTTACCCGTTTCTTTGTCAAATACTGCAGCCATGAACGACATCTTTGAAAAAAGCAACCCAGCTTTAGTTCTGACATCTATGACAGAAGACGTCATACTAGGAGATGGTTTTCCAGTTATCAACGTCAACGAAATAGCCCATGACACGTCAAAGTATATTTCGGTTACGTCGTCCATAGATGATTTAGCATATGTCATCCGAACTTCTGGTTCTACTGGAACTCCAAAACAATGCAAAATCCGACACAGAAGTCTTCAAGTAATGGCTTCCTCCTGGAAAAAGGCTTACAAAATGACGGAATGTGAAGTAACGATTCTGCAGTGGGCACCACTATCATTTGATGTCTTTGTTGGTGATGTGGTACGGGCACTTATTTCTGTTGCTGGAACTTTAGTCGTATGTCCTGATGGGAAGAGACTTGACGTGGGCTACATTCTGAATACTATACAGAGTCATCAAGTTTCTATCATGGAAGTCACTCCACAGTTTGGACAACAGCTGGTAGAGAATGCAGAAGATGGAAATTTGAATAGCCTGAAGACGCTAATACTGGGGTCAGATACTGTTCAAACACATCTTTACAATAAAATCAAGAGCCATCTGAGAGCAGATCAAAGATTACTAAACAGCTATGGCATGACAGAAGCCACTATAGATTCTTCTTTCTTTGAGGGTAACCCTCCAGATACTGCAAGTGGAACTGTGCCAATCGGAAAACCACTACCAGGGGTTATCTATCACATTGTCAACAAAGATACATTACAACTCTGTCCTGTTGGAACAGCTGGCGAACTGTACATTGGAGGTGATGTACTGGCCGAGGGAGATGTCGACTTGGTTTGTCTACCTTTAACTAATTCTATGAGTTTAAAAACTGGAGATGTCGCTCGATGGTTACCTTCTGGAGATGTTGAACTTTTGGGACGTCTGGACAACATGCTGAAACTGAGAGGATTCCGAATAAGTACAACAGAAATTGAAAACAAGATTGCATCCATTGATTCAAAGATCAAATCTGTTTGTGTACTCCCACTTTCTAATGATGCTGAAATTGAATTTCTGTGCGCCTTTGTTAGTGTACATGGTGAAAATGATGGATTTATAAACAAAGTTAGCGTTAGTCAAAAATTAAGGGGAACTCTACCTTACTACATGATTCCAGACATCGTCCATGTTATTGACAAAATTCCACTCACTACAAATGGTAAAGTCGATCGAAGAGCTCTACCGAAAATAGACGATCTATTGAAAGAAGGCAAATCCAAATCAACTGATGCCCAAACTGATGTTTCGTCCACAGTATCAATACTTTCTGCTTTATTTGCCGAGGCAATGGGATTAGATGCTGGTGCCATTGATAAAGATCTGACGTTTATGGAACAAGGAGGCCATTCATTGATTCTTCTTCGTTTGGCTTCATCAATCAAGATGTCTACAGAATACGACATTGGAATATCTGATATATTTTCGTACCCAAGCATAGTATCTCTAGCAAACTACATTGATGACAAGTCTGAATTGGAAGCTAAAGACGAATCTGAAGAAGGGGGGTACCAGAATAGACCTGAAGATGACATTGCTATTACTGGTATTGGAATGAGACTACCAGGCGGTATTGAGTCACTACCAGAATTCTGGAAAATTTTGATAGACGGAGATGATATGATACAAGAATTCCCAAAGCAAAGAAAGCATGATTTTCTTCGATGTATCGATGCAAATAAGGCAGATATGTATTCAAAACTTGAAACATTCAAAGGATCGTTTTTGGATGATATTGATAAATTTGACCATCAGTTTTTCAAGATTGTGCCAGGAGAGGCAAAGTTTATGTCACCAGAGCAGAGACTGTTCCTTCAAGTTTCAACAGAAGCTCTAACTGAGGCTAGGGACATTAACCTTGTTAAAGGATCAAAGATAGGTGTGTTTGTAAGTAATTCTGAGATTGGTTATGGTGAACTTGATCTACCTAGTGACGCAGTAGGAATATCTGGTTTGATGTCTGGTATGGTAGCTACCCGAGTTGCCTATCAATGGGATTTGAAAGGACCTACTATGTTAGTAGATACAGCTTGCTCATCATCTCTTATGGCATTGAAGTTAGCTAGTGAGTCAATAAAGAAAGGAGAATGCGAAGGAGCATTGGTTGGCGGAGCAAATCTGATCATGTATCCAGCTAGAAAGGGGGTACATGGAGACACCGGAATACTCTCTCCAGACTTTCACTGTAATGCTTTTGACAAAGATGCCAGCGGTACTGCTGTTGGTGAAGGAGTTATTTGTTTATATATAGAACCATTGCAGGATGCTCTGCTGAAAGATAAACACATATACGGCGTTTTGAAAGGAGTTGCCTCCAACAGCGTTGGTCATGGAAATGGGATAACTGCACCAACTGCAACATCTCAACAGTCTGTCATAAAAGCAGCATTAAACACGACTGAGTTAAAGCCTTCTGATTTATCATACATTGAAGCACATGGAACCGGAACTAAACTTGGTGACAGGATCGAATTGTCAGCTCTTTCATCTATCTTCCACGATAAAGATAGTAGCAATAAAGTTCATTTAGGAGCAACGAAGACGACATTTGGACATTTGGATTCTGCTGCTGGTATGATAGGGGTTCTGAAGGTTTTGGCGATAAACGTGTTCAAGAATATACCACCAATGCATTTGTTCCGAAATCCGCATCCAGAATTGAAAGATTCATCATTGATTATTCCAAAGAAACAAATCCCGCTGAATGCAAGAATATTTAATGCTGGTGTGAGTTCATTTGGTTTAACTGGTACCAATTGCCATGCTATCATCTCTCAAAGTCCAGTTGAAATCTTACTAGGAGACGATGGCGAACCACGTCCATTGATACTGATTGCTAAAAATATGAAACAACTTAAGAGTCAAATGCAACACATCGTCATGTTTATAGAACAAACTGTCATCAAGTCAGCTATCAACACGTTGACTGGTCTTTGCGTGCAGGTTGCTAAGCAAACGGAACAACTATTACGAGGAAAACTAGTTCAAGCTGATCTGAAACTTGTGATATATGTTAAGAGCCCAAACCAAGCAACGAGGACTCTGAATATGTTGACGAATGTGCAGAACGAAGACGAAGTTGCCAGATTGGCCTCTATGAGGAGTGACATTGACTTTGGGGAATCTTCTGGTAATGGTGGTGTTCAACATTTCTTGTCCTCAGATGAAATCGACTTACACAGACTCTTTAGTAAAGAAGACCTGCACCATCAAGCTTTTGGTGTTTACATAGATATGTTCTGTCCTACCAGACATTGGTGTGACCCCAGTACAAGTATAAGAACACATAATGAAGGTCTGCTTGAAATTCTTCAACGAAAGATCACTGATGCCAGAGAAATGGTGCGAAGTTTACCACTAGCGGCTACACCTGAACTCAAACAATTGGAAGGACGATTTTGTGTCGCCGTGATAATTAAACTTTTGCTTTCTACCAAACTCGAGAAAGCTTTGGAAGAGAATGAAGAGGTTACTTTAAGAAACTCATTTAAAGACACTGGTATGCTTCCTAAATACGACAAACTGTACTATGTGATGATCCGAGAATTATTTGAAAATAATGTCGTCATTCCGACAGGAAAAGATCGAGCCATTCATTGTTTGGATTCCTTCCAGTTCCAGAGTAATCATCTATTGGACATCAACCCAGAACCAATCGCCAGGTTTGCCATGGACAAGTACCCTGCATGGTCGGACTGCTTCCGGTTTCCACTTTACTGTTCAAAGTATCTCACAAAGGTATTGTGGGGTAAGATGAGTCCACTATCTGTCATCTATCCTCAGGGTGATCTAAACTACATGTATCAGTTCGACAAACTTGGAGATCTAATTGGTGACGTTTATTACAATATGTACATGCAGATGATCGCTTCTTACGCCAAACAACTTTCGAGTCAAGGAAGACAGGTCCGTGTGCTAGAAGTTGGTGCCGGTATGGGTCATGTAACAAGACAGTTGATTCCAAAATTGAAGGACACACCAAATGTAGAATACTGGTTTACAGATCTTGGTAAAGCTTTTGTTGAAAATGCAAAAACTCTCTTCAAAGATTACCTATACATGATGAAATTTTCCACGTTTGATATTACCAAAAACGCACCAAAACAAGGGCTGCTGGGTTCCTATGATATAGTGATCTCCTACAACGTCATCCATACCACAGAGAGTGTCATGGATTCAGTCACTAATCTGAAATCCTGTGTTGGAGATGATGGTACACTCTTTGTTATTGAGAGTGCCAAAAATGAAACATGGGCGACATTAGCTTGGGGTATACTTGATGGATGGTGGTACTTTAAAGATTATGATATGAGACCCGATGAGCCAATGATGGAACCAGAGAAATGGGAACGAGTACTGAAAGGTAATAACTTTAGCTTATTGTTGAAATCATGTTTTCATTTAAGCACAGCGGATAGCAAATTTGGGACCACTCTTGTGTTTTTCTACGGACACTTGCCACTTTTCATAGCTTTTGAATTATGAATTTTTGTTTTGATTCAATTCTAAAAAGGAATCAAAGCTGGTTAACTCAATCACAGATTGGAATGTAATGCCCTCTCATTACATTGTCCAATGTTTAGGATCTCAATCGTATCCGATGATGTCGTAATGAGTACATTGCCTGTATTTTCAGGCGCTGGTTTCGGATCTGTCCATTCTTGTCCAGTGGATGCTTTTGAAAGAGAACAAGTAGAAAAGTTCCTTTTTGTGTGTAGTGCCAAAGCACTGGATGGTGAGCTGAAGAAGGAACCAGGATGGTGGGAAACTATTAATCTTAAGACCAGGAGGCACCAAGATTTAGAGGAAGATGTCGCCCAGAGCATCGACACTGGTGTTGACGAAGCTGTAGTTGGAAGGACTGCCGTCCATAGAGAGCTGAAACAGATCTGGTGCGAACTGCTTGGACTCGATGATATTCAACCCAACGATGACTTTAACTCATTAGGAGGTGAATCTCTACTAGCTATACAGATGATGACATTGGTACGAAAAAGGATTGGGTATCAACTGGAAATCGCTGATACATTTGGTTACCCGACGCTTGAAGCTCTGGCTAATTACATTGCTGATCAATTAGATGAGAATGACGAGACTGTGGAGTCTAATGAGCAATGGGTAAACATTCCAACTCCTACCAGTCTGTCGGATATTGATGAATCGGAATGTGCTCGGACGCTGTTAATGTTCCCTGGACAAGGTGCTCAAAAACCTGGTATGTGTGAATCCATGAAATATAGTTCTTCAGCAAAAGCATTATTTGCTCGAGCAGAGAAGATTATTGGTTACAATATTTTTGAAATATGCATGAATAATAACGACGAAACCGCAGCAAAACTCAAATCAACGGAATTTGTACAAGTAGTATTGCTGGTTGGATGTCTTGCTAAAATCGAACAGTTGAAAGAGGAAAACCCTAATGTTCTTCATAATGTTACCCACGTATCTGGACTAAGTGTTGGAGAATTCGCTGCTCTTGTGTATGCCGAGGTCATAAGCTTCGAAAATGCTGTTCGTGTCATCCAAATTAGAGGGCGAGCGATGGAAAACGAAGTGAAGCAATCTGCTACAGGTATGGTTAGCGTATTTGGACCCAGTTGTGAAACACTGTGTCAGTTCCTAGCTAAACACTACCCAAATATGAAGATTTCCACTTACCTTGCGGACAATCAGCACACAATTGCTGGAACAGCTGATGAAGTTGAGAGTCTTGTGAATGATCTCTCGACTGTCCACAAAGAAGAACTGGGAGTGATTGACGCTAGACGTTTAAGAGTTGCTGGTGGCTTCCATTCCTCGTATATGGAGAATGCATCGAAAATCGTTGATCCCGTGATTAAGTCCATAAAGTTTTCCGAACCAACTACTACTCTGATTATGAATGTTACTGGTGGTATTGAACAGGATCCACGAGTTATCAAAGAACTATTATGTGAACAATTGGTAGCTCCTGTTCAGTGGAAGCAATCTGTGTTAACAGCTTACGAAGCTGGTGTGACAAACTTTATAGAAGTTGCCCCAGCGCGTGTTCTCTCGTCTATTGTCAAGAACCGAATATCTACTGTTAAAAAGTGTAATTGTGAATTGATAGTAGTTTAAATGCTGTATATTGTAATATATACTCATACTCTAAAATCAATTATGATCGACGACGCTATGCAACACAATCTTTGATATGCACATTATTCATAACTTTTCGACATGTAGTTGACAATATAAATTTTATATAAGTTTTGACCATTCCAATTATTCAAACTTCGTGTAGACAACAGTAACAAATTCAATGAAAATAATGGAAATCGGACAAGTACTCTTTTCTGTATACTCTGATGTTTTTGACAAACATAATATTTCACAAAAATTCATTTAATCAATTTCAGAACCTTGAGATTAATTAATAATAATTCAAATGAAAGAGACTCCTATCTAAATATGAGTTCCATTTTATACATGTGTTCAATCACATATTTTGTTTTGTTTTGTCCAAATTGTGATAGTTATTTCCCTTTAAAGGTGGGTGCCCATATTTTCATTTATAAAAGTCAGAATTCTAATACCTATATGAATAGAAAGTAGAGGTGTTCTTAGAAAATACCAGTTTGTCTCACATGTACGTATATTAATTCAAAATTAGCTAAATTAGAAGAGAATTACCAGCAGAATTGCAATGAGTGACCGATCAAAAAAGGTCAAAAGGTCTTTTTTTTTGTTTATCCAGACTGTACATACATGGACATTTATGATTGGTTAAAAGTCTTAATAATATGCAATAAGAACATAATGATAAGATTAAGAATACATGATAATTCATTAGAAACACCAATTCATCAAATAGTTTGCTTAATTTGACACTAAAAAGTAAGGAAACCCATCTGGAGTATATCCAACATAGTAATTGGACATTTTTTTTCAATTCATTTTTATTATGAACTGTGAAATTTGTTTATTGTATTCGGGCTTAATTAATCTTATATTTTTTCATATTAATTGTATCTAATTTGTATTGTACAAATAACAGCTCAATGCAAGAATATTTGATGCTGGTGTGAGTTCATTTGGTAGTACCAATTGCCATGCTATCATCTCTCAAAGTCCAGTTGAAGTTTCATCAGGAGATGGTGGCGAATCACATCCATTGATACTGACTGCTAAAAATATGAAACTTATTTAATTGTTCTCATTATGACTACTTAAATGATCAATTATTGTCTTTATTGATCATGATCAGTTGTGATCCCTTTTCATTATCCATGATGATGATTCGTAGTTACATTCTTTATACATCATGATTCTTTATGATTACTTTATCATGATCATTCAGTACTATTATTTATCATGAAGTTTTATTACCATTATTCAACATGATTATTTATGGTTATTATTCAGAAGACCGTTTGTGACTTATTATTCAATATGGTCGTGTGTGATCAATTATAGATTATGATCTTTTGTGATTTAATTATTCAGCTTAATCGTTCATTATTTTTCTTAATCAGTTACTGATTATGATCGATTATGACCAATATAAATTTTGATATCAAATATTTAAATAGTTATTATCAAAAAAATCTGATTCTATAAAGATTATTATAATCTAAAGCTGGAGTATCTTTGTTATTTTATCATAGATATTAATAAAATTGTTTATTGAACTCCGTCTGATTGCTATTAGCGACAAAATATATAACTAACAAAAATAGCTTTTTGTCGTGGTGAAGGGTTTTGTATCAACTTGCAATCATAAACTACTTACAATAATTCCAAATATCTTTTCACGAAACTATTCGATATAATTTAAAAACAGAAACTCCTTTCGAATGAAAAAAGATCGTTCGTAAGAATTCACCGCCTCGTACAATGCAACCTGTATTGGGCAAAAAGCAACCCCTGGATCCATCCATTATTGATAAGTGAGCGTAGTTTAAAAGACTAGAATATTCATCATATAATGACCAATTACTGTACCCGCGCTTTCTATTACAATTAAGACTGAAACTAGCGAACGTTTCTTTTATTGGTGGTTTAATGTCGGATCATTATGATTTACCAATTGAACCTGGATGAGCCGACTTTTTGTCATATATTTTCCAGTAATTTTAATGCCACCTATTGGATTGGAGTTGGAGATATTGTAGTTTTGTGTTCAGATAACTGACTGCTGATAGCAGACATGTTAAACGTTTGTTTGCAATAAAAATTATACATCTGGGGTCAAAATTGGCCAAGTTATGGCCATTTTAGTGAGGGGGTTGGGGTCGGCAGTCCAACTATAGAGTCATATAGTACTGTCTGGGGTGAAGGCCAAAACTTTAACAGGCTGCCGTTTGAAAACTATCAGAGATGTAAAAGTGAAATTTATTCAGCTTCCTATCTTGAAAACTCTGCCAGTTACATCACTTTTTGTCTCAAACTTTTTCACCAAACCAAAAAATAAGCGATTTTCCTCTTGAAAATTCGGGTGAAACTTTAAAGTCGATTATCTTTTCAAAACTTTTCAAAAATCCGAATTTCTGTTTTCGACTGAAATAGATAGAAAACATGTTAAACTTTCGTCTGCAATAAAAATTATACCTTAACCGCAAAGTTATGGCCATTTTAGTGAGGGGTGAGGGTTGACAGTCCGCCTATAGTCTACTTGCAATGGTTGGGATGAAGACCAAAACTTTAACAGGCTGCCTCTCGAAAACTATTTGAGATGTAAAGTAGAAATTTGCACTGAAGGTGGAACAAACCCATCTAAAGTTGTTGTGTTCCAAATTTCAGCTTCCTATCATGAAAACTCTGCCAGTTACAGCACTTTTGATCTCAAACTTTTTCCCCAAACCAAAAAATAAGCAATTTTCATATTGAAAATTCGGGTGAAACTTCAAAGTCGATTATCTCGAAACTTTTTCAAAAATCCGAATTTCTGTATTCGACTGAAATAGATAGCAAACATGTTGAACTTTCGTTTACAACAAAAATTATACCTTAACCGCGAAGTTATGTGCATAAAAGTGGATTCTGAGCACTTTTTTTTGCGGAAAAGTGCCAAAAAATCCGGTTTTTCATGGACAAAACTAAAACGCTCAGTGCTTCCAAAGTAAGGCAGATATGGAATCGCAGTTTGTGGCACTGCAAAGCTAAGATTTCAAACTAGTACCTGTCCAAATTTCATCATCCTATCTCGAGTGGTTTGACCGTGGTGGAGCTGCAAAGTTTGGATTTTCAAAAAAGTCAAAATTGGCAAATTTCAACAGGTAGCTACCTGTGGTACCAAAATCCATTTTTGGGTCGAATTTTTTTGGTCTCGGAAATCGATGTAACCCGGTTTTTTGGACTCGGTGCTTCTCTAGCTCTCTCCCAATGTGCATAAAAGTGGATTCTGAGCACTTTTTTTTTTTGCGGAAAAGTGCCAAAAAATCCGGTTTTTCATGGACAAAACTAAAACGCCCCCATGCTTCCAAAGTAAGGCAGATATGGAATCGCGGTTTGTGGCACTGCAAAGCTAAGATTTCAAACTAGTACCTGTCCAAATTTCATCATCCTATCTCGAGTGGTTTGACCGTGGTGGAGCTGCAAAGTTTGGATTTTCAAAAAAGTCAAAATTGGCAAATTTCAACAGGTAGCTACCTGTGGTACCAAAATCCATTTTTGGGTCGAATTTTTTTGGTCTCGGAAATCGATGTAACCCGGTTTTTTGGACTCGGTGCTTCTCTAGCTCTCTCCCAATGTGCATAAAAGTGGATTCTGAGCACTTTTTTTTTTTGCGGAAAAGTGCCAAAAAATCCGGTTTTTCATGGACAAAACTAAAACGCTCAGTGCTTCCAAAGTAAGGCAGATATGGAATCGCGGTTTGTGGCACTGCAAAGCTAAGATTTCAAACTAGTACCTGTCCAAATTTCATCATCCTATCTTGAGTGGTTTGACCGTGGAGGAGCTGCAAAGTTTGGATTTTCAAAAAAGTCAAAATTGGCAAATTTCAACAGGTAGCTACCTGTGGTACCAAAATCCATTTTTGGGTCGAATTTTTTTGGTCTCGGAAATCGATGTAACCCGGTTTTTTGGACTCGGTGCTTCTCTAGCTCTCTCCCAATGTGCATAAAAGTGGATTCTGAGCACTTTTTTTTTTGCGGAAAAGTGCCAAAAAATCCGGTTTTTCATGGACAAAACTAAAACGCTCAGTGCTTCCAAAGTAAGGCAGATATGGAATCGCGGTTTGTGGCACTGCAAAGCTAAGATTTCAAACTAGTACCTGTCCAAATTTCATCATCCTATCTCGAGTGGTTTGACCGTGGTGGAGCTGCAAAGTTTGGATTTTCAAAAAAGTCAAAATTGGCAAATTTCAACAGGTAGCTACCTGTGGTACCAAAATCCATTTTTGGGTCGAATTTTTTTGGTCTCGGAAATCGATGTAACCCGGTTTTTTGGACTCGGTGCTTCTCTAGCTCTCTCCCAATGTGCATAAAAGTGGATTCTGAGCACTTTTTTTTTTTGCGGAAAAGTGCCAAAAAATCCGGTTTTTCATGGACAAAACTAAAACGCTCAGTGCTTCCAAAGTAAGGCAGATATGGAATCGCGGTTTGTGGCACTGCAAAGCTAAGATTTCAAACTAGTACCTGTCCAAATTTCATCATCCTATCTTGAGTGGTTTGACCGTGGAGGAGCTGCAAAGTTTGGATTTTCAAAAAAGTCAAAATTGGCAAATTTCAACAGGTAGCTACCTGTGGTACCAAAATCCATTTTTGGGTCGAATTTTTTTGGTCTCGGAAATCGATGTAACCCGGTCTTTTGGACTCGGTGCTTCTCTAGCTCTCTCCCAATGTGCATAAAAGTGGATTCTGAGCACTTTTTTTTTTGCGGAAAAGTGCCAAAAAATCCGGTTTTTCATGGACAAAACTAAAACGCTCAGTGCTTCCAAAGTAAGGCAGATATGGAATCGCGGTTTGTGGCACTGCAAAGCTAAGATTTCAAACTAGTACCTGTCCAAATTTCATCATCCTATCTTGAGTGGTTTGACCGTGGTGGAGCTGCAAAGTTTGGATTTTCAAAAAAGTCAAAATTGGCAAATTTCAACAGGTAGCTACCTGTGGTACCAAAATTCATTTTTGGGTCGAATT